TTCAGAAATTGACCCCAATTGGGCTACATTTGCATATCCTTGAGGAAATTTTCAATTACTCTCTCGTTTCTCAATCTTTTCCATTCTTTCTGTTGGAATTGAATAAGTGGAGGATACCCGAATTCTGTTTGGATAATATAATGACCCTCATCAGGTAAATCTTAATTAGAAATTTAATTTAAAGATTTAAATATCATAATTAGATTCAAAACGTGATTTCGAGTATTTTGACTGTAATCATGACTAGGTCATGAACAATGTCTTCTGTCGGGTATTCTGCACATATTCTTTTAAGCATACTCCCCTCTTGAGCTTGTACATGGATGCGAACCTAATGTTTCCCATCTGCGCATATTTGATTGCATTATATATGTCCTTATGTCATCTGAGGTTTAACATTTACGTGCGATTTTAAGACTCGATACAGAATCAAGTATTTGGAGCCCTTGATGGGCTACATATATGATTCACTAATTTAATGAGAGACATTTTCCGACATTAGGGGGGAAAGCCAGAAACTTAATGAATCCTGAGAAATTATTTTGAAAAAAAAAACTAAATGAATTATTTTGGTCCACGTAAGAGTATAATTGAACTTGAAGTTCAAAATATCATTAACTTGCAACCTTTAGTAAGATAAATGCCAAATATTTCTGATCATAAAGGAGTGACTAAGTCTCATATCCCTGCAGAAAATGAGCGACATGTAGTGGAGAATTTAATGAGACAAAATTTTGTTTGAGTCTAGTCAATGCAGGAAGCGTGAATGAGACTAAAGACATAAATCCGCAGAAAATAAAAATAAGTCACTCATTGCGCATCTTGAAGAGAGAAAACACGGTGAAATAAATGCAGCTGCTAATTGCAACAATCCCGAGAATACGGAACGGCCAAATCTGAATGTCATGGGAAACGATGAAGATTTGGTTTATGATACTTAAAAGTTGCAATACACTATAATAATAAGGAAGAAAATATGTTAATATTATCTATCGTCGACGACATCATTGCCTTCTCAGTAACTCCTGTTGTCTCAAGAGATAATCTAGATCCAGAACCTAAAATCATTCAAGAACGCCAGACGCATTCAAATTAGTATGAATGGAAGGAGGCAATTAAGAAATAACTAGGATTTTCATAGAAACCCTACATCAATTATGATGTTTATTCTCCCGTAATGAATTTTATTACGTTCGGTTACTTGATCAATATGAAGACTAGGATGATATTTATATGAAAATTCCTAAAGGATTCTTCATACCCTATATGGGAAGAATGAAATTCGCAGCAAGTCTAGCATCAAGCTGCAAAGATCATTGTATGGTGGTCTCAAACATATTGTTGTCTCGGCTTGCAGATCGAGTATCTTCCAAAAATATTTATTTTATTTCACCAATGTTATTATATAAGTGCCCCAATAATGGTCCATTTACTAAAAGTGAATACAGATACATTTAGACAAAAAGAAACTAACAAGAAATGATTAGAACCTGAAGCTCCTAATCTTAAAAGTCATAGGAACACTATTATACTTTGCAAATTGCAACAGGCCTAATATTGCATTTGCAGTAAAAGTTCTAGCTAGACATAATGTTTCCCCTTAAGACATTGGAATGATGCCAATCATATTTTGGTTATCTTCAAGTAGATCCCATAATATTAGGGGTGTTAGCGGACTGGAATGGATCGATTTTGAAGCAAAAATCATCGGATTCAATCTCTTAGTTTTGATCATTTAATCATCCATTCAGTTTTGATTGGATCGATTTTCCAATTTTCGAAAAATCTAAAATTTTAGTCATACAAATCACTAGCTATATCAAAATAAAGTCATTCAAAGTTACAAACCACTAAAAAATTCAAGTCTTCAAACTAAAACAAGTCTTAAAATTCATGAAGAGTTAAAATATATTAATAGACAATAAAAAAAACTAAAACAAGATAGTTTGCTATCAATAACATCCAAGATTTCAAGTCTACAAAACAACAAGATTTCAAGTCACCATCTTTCGAAAATAATAAATATATAATACATTGGATTGGATCGGTTTTCACCAATCAAACCAAAAATCAATCCAATCCAATTAAAATATACGAACTTTTTTTCGGTTATCGATTTTTCGGTTCGGTCACTGCGATTTGAATTGGTTTAGATCGGTTGATGAACACCTCTATATGATATGAAGATTTTACATTAGTGGGATATTTTGATGTTGACTATATGTCTAATAATCATAAATTGAATATGCATCTTTTTGGGGAAGCACTGCAATGTTATGAAAGGCTATAAACGCTAAGTCTAGTCGATATTTTCTTAATAGATTACTTTCATCAAAGGGAGCAAATTAATTATGACTACCCTTGAAAGATATAATCCTGAAGGTTTATTAATGTACTCTTTTTTCTTTTGCTAATTTTTTTCCCAAAAGGGTTTTTCTTGGCTAAAGGTTTTTAATGAGACAGTTTATGCAATTTTTTGGTAGCACACATCATGTACTCTTTTATGTCTTCGCTAGTTTTTTCCCATTGACTTTTCTAAGAAGTTTTTAATGAGGCATGAACTTAGAGCAATGATGTCCAATGAGAAGTATTGTAAATGGACGTTATTGATCCTATTGAATTAACATTACTGCAGTTTATTATAGGAGATTACAAGATAGTTGTTATGGAAAATTATAAACATTTCTCCACTTCCGTAGCTCAGGAGTAGCTTTACGGCTCAATTGAGTGGGAGTTATACACACTACACCCTTTTTTTCTTTACCAAATTTTTATCCCACTGAATTTTTCTTGAAAAGGTTTTTAATGAGGCAGTCTATATTAGCATATAAATGATGGTATGTTAAGCACGAATATTGTACTCTTTTTCCTTCAGTAAAGTTTTTATTCCATTGGATTTGATAAGGCATATCCATAACGTATACCCTTCTTAAAAATATTAACAATAAAAAAGAAAAAGAAAAAAAATTAGACCAAATACGTTGGAAAGTTACAACAATTATAAAAAAGGCTAAAAATAAAAAAATAAGGAAGATCAAATATATCTAAATAAAAAAGAAGAAAATAGAATGAACGAAATAAAAAGGAAAAAAAGACTAAATATATTGGAAACATACAGTAAAAATAGTCTAAATAAAAAATAAAAGAAAAATAAGACTAAATATGTTGAAAATTTATAACACTGAGTTACTTTTTTATTTCTTTTTTGTCATATTTTTTATTTTATTTCTTTTAACATGATAGAAAAGACTAAATGTAAATTAAAAAAAAGACCAAACATATTTAATAAAGGGTTTGATGTTTGTCATTTTAGGAGAGAGATAGACACAAGGAATGAAAATCATGGGAGAGAAAGTGGGTGAATTTTTTTAATTTAAATTTTAAATAAAAAATATTATTTTGTGTCTATCTCTCTCCTAAAATGACATGACTTTATGTCATTTAAAATGACTTTTCCCTTAAATAAAAAATAAGAGAATAAAGTAAGGACGGATATATAAAAGAAAAAATATTAGTAATTTCTTTTTCTTCTATTTTTTATTTTTGTCTTTGTTTTTCTTTTATTTCTTTTTTTTCCTCAATCTATTTTCTTCCTTTTAATTTAGTATATTTTTATTTATTTTTTACTTCTAGTTTTTTCTATTAACATATTTGATCTTATTTTTTCTCTTAATTTATTTTCTTCTTTTTGATTTAAACATATTTGATCTTTTTTCTTCTATTTTTATTAGAAAGGGGTTATATTTATAGAAGAAGGTTATAGTTACAACATTTTTTTTACAACCATATCTTAACACCGGTGATTTCTGCCAATCAACGGTTATCATTTATTGTGAATTAATAATTAATTAATGAGTTTAATTTGTGAAAATCATAACCGTTGATTGGCGGAAATCAACGGTGTTAAGATATGTTTGTAAGAGGTTGTAAAAAAAATGTTGTAACTATAACTTTCCTCATACTTATAACCTATTTTCTCTTACAATCATTTTTTTTTAATCGAATCAATATTTATAAAATAATATCAAGTAAGAACTGTTGATTAAATTTTGATCAAATAGTTAAAAAATTAATTGTAAGAGGTTGGAAAATAAATTGTAAATATGACCTCCTCTTTTTATTATTATTTTACTTTTAGTCTATTCTGTAAGTGTTTTAAGTTTTCAACTTTTTTGTCTTATTTTTTTATATTTTGTCATTATTCTATTCTTTTCTTCTAAGAAGGCTAAATTAGATTAGCTTAATTTCTAACGGTGTTAAGAATGAATTTGGGTGGAAAAAAAACTATAAGGGGGTAAATGATTAACAAAAAAACATAGGGCCGATTTAAGTGATTCAAGGCAAAACCATAGGGAGATTTTTTAATTTTTTTTTCTTCTAAAAACAATGATTATTCCACTCTCGATCCAATAAAATAATTCAACTGATGCTAAAAGGAAAACAATTTTATAAAGCAAAATGTTATATGATATTAAAATCATTGAGAAAAGATAATCTGTGTCAGAGAAATTACTTCAACAATATTCATAGTTCCATGAAATACACACTAGAAATTAAAACATGCAATAACACAATGTTAAAGCGTACCTACGAAAATATATGAATGCAACAAGGAAAAATCTGAACCCAATGTTAGACACTGTGTCTTTAAGACAATATTGCCCTCTCTATGATGCCTAAGATTTGTGAACAATTGTTCCATAAAATAGAACAAATTACCTCTATTCGTGTTGCGACACTTTCACATTGAATAGTCCCATCGAACTCAATCTATGTCTGACTAATCGCATTAGAATAGAAGAATGAAAATGCAAAGAATGTGCAAAGACTATTAGGGAAAAAAAAAACTCTCCAGAAATCCTGATTCTCTATATATTTATAGAAAATATAAGATTGCGACTCAAAAGACACTTATTTAACGACAAAAAGACACATCTTTTTCATATCAAATTTCTTATTCATAAACATAATTAATTTAAAATTAATTCTAACACAACAAAATAGGGATGAACTAGTCAATGCATTTTGCTGCAGCAAATCCAAGCTTACACATAATATCCTAAGCATTTTTGGGCTTTGCCGTTAATATTTTCCAATATAAAACGGAGTCTCTTATCTTCGTCTTAGCCAAAGTAAAAGAAAATAAAACATTAAAAAAAGAATACAAGAGTTAGAACAAGTATTGATTGAACCATATGGTTTATTTAAGAAGCAATATGCAGCAACATTTAGATTCACATTTGTACATACATAAGATCACTTCCACTTCTTGAATAGCTTGCCAAACTTTCCACGCTTAAATTTTCCATGCTTGCCGAACTTTCCATGCTTGAACTTGCCATGGTGCTTGAATTTCCCGTGGGGCATAAGACCATGTCCATAGTGGCCATGGGAAACATGGTGAGCCCCGTATGCAGCAGCCGCAGCAGCAGCACCACCAGCAAGCAATGCACCCATACCACCATGCCCGTGCCCATGAGACCCTGATGACAAAGCAAATAAGTTAGCAGCAGAAAACTTCAAATAGGCACTGCATCAGTTACCACAGGTCAAAGTTAGAAAGTCTCGCTTATGAATTGATTTTTAAGCTAAACAATCCATATGTTGTATGGAATTTGCAATATATTTCACACAAGTGGACGGTGTATATATTGGTTTAATAGGCACCAGTATCTCAATTAATTTAAGTCAATTCATTAGCCTAAAGTAGCTTTATAAGATTCATAACAACAATGGGATTGTAATAATCAGTTAATAAAAGATTTAATAATGACAAAAATAAGAATCAAGGAATTATACCTGGGACATGTGATGAACCAGGATAACCAGCTGGAGGGTAACTAGCCGGAGGATAACCAGCAGGAGGATAACCAGAAGGGTGATAACCACCAGGAGGATAACCAGCTTGTGGAGGGTAACCAGCTTGTGGAGGGTAACCATGCCCATGTGGGTAGCCTTGATGAGGAGGGTATGCCCCTGGTGGTGGAGGGTAGGCCCCAGGTGGGTACCCCCCATGAGCAGCTTGAGCTACCCCATGTGCAAGGTGTGAGAAAATTCCTTTGTCATCATCATTATACTTGTCCTTTCCGCCTCCCATCTTTCAGGAGAAGAGCTGATGATTCAGGATTAGAAATTGGTTAATTTAAAAAGAGTAACATAATTGGTTATATAACCAGATAGACAAAATCATACATATAGCTTTACAATACAAAGAGGGAAGCTAAGAAACTCAAAATGGGCATTCTCCAATTCAAGTCATTCCCCTTGCTCAAGTTGCTAACTTGCCAAAGTTATGCAAAAGCAAAACTTTTGTTTTCATTCTTGACTAATAATTGTGAACAGATAAACATTAAACTCTGCTATATTTCAGGAGAAACCATCATAATATCAATCTAACCATCATAAAAATTAAAGGAACATTGACCTAGTAAACATGAACAGAATAAGAATGCACAGAAATGTTATAGAACAACCTAATATTAAAAATAAAACCATATGTACCCAAAAAAAAAAAAAAAACCATAATTTTTTACTCAAAAAGGAAAGAAAAAAGAAAGGAAGGAATTCATACTCAAACGAGAAAGGTACAAAATTTATCCCAATGAATAATTAGAAGCATTAAACAATTTCGAAGAAGGATTAAAATTTAGAATGAAATGATTGAGAGAAAAGAAATAACTCACTGATTTTGGATTTTGCAGAAAGCGATGAAGAAATTGACAAATTGAAATGAATAAAGAAAAAACAGAGAGAGAGAGAGAGAGAGAGAGGGAGGGAGGGAAATAGGGATTTATAATAACAGAGAGTGGATTCGCCTTTTAGTGGTCGACGAGCGTCAAAGATACGATTTAGCGTTACGCGTCAGCAACGCGTCTAAGCATGCCACGGTCCCTCTAACACAGAGAAACGTGACAATTCCGAATTTTGCTGATTAAAATTTCTTTTCTTGTATATTCGTTAATCTAACTGTTATAATTTATTGAATCACATTTATTAATTAATTATTAAATTTTAATAAATTATAATCGTTAGATTGACAAAAATCAACGGTTAATATTTGATAATAAGAGATAGTAGAAATAAAGGTGATAAGTATAACATTTTCCTAGTAAAATTATATAAAATTTTTACTAATAATATTGAAATCGGGATATATTCACGCCACCTTAAGAATACAAACTTTGATAATTAGGGGATTGGAACTTGGGAGGTTGCTGCTAATTGATTCATCAATTGCTTTATTTATTTGTTTGAATTCCAAGAAAATAGCAATTACTATTTAACTGGAATTAAAATCTAATAGGGAAAAAAAACTAATTTAATAACTTTGTTTAATTGGGGGAATCTGATTCTCTCTCTCTCTCTAAATAATTAAAATTAAAGAATATGAAATATCTTTAAAGTTTATTAATTTTAAATATATTTTAAAAATATATTTACAGTTTCATTATATAAATAGTTTTTAATTATTAAATGGTTACTAAATTTAAATTTTATTCTACTATAAAGAAGATTACTTTAGCGTGACCACATTTTGGTTAATGAAGACACAAAGTAATAAAAAAAAAAACATAGATTAATAAACATGTCAGTGCCTGTGTTAATAGTAAGTTTGTCAAGACAAAGATTGAACATCAAAGTAAAAAATTTCTTTATAATTTAAAAGAAGGATAATACTAACTAGAACACGTTAGCTACTCAACGTAATATTTAAAAATTGCAATTCGGTACAGACACGAAGCATCTGTCAAATGCTATTTGAGCAATCAGGTTCATATGCATGGGTCATAATGATTTGAAAAATAACTGCTCCGAAGACACACAAAATTGGCAATTAGCTCATTCGCAAAAATTTCTAAATGCTCTTCAATATTTGAGCAACATTTTAAGTGCATGTTTAACTGAGATTGATTTTTAAGAAAAAGTATTTAAAAAAAAAAAAACTGTTATTCTAGTTACAAAATAAATTAATTCGTAGACATATATAAAATCTGAAAAATAAAACCCAAATTTTGAACTATTGTCATACTATTTAGTGTAAAATAGTATTTATTCATTTTTTATACAAAAATAACAAAACATGTATTACCTAACATAACATAATATTTAAGTAATTTTCAACATGATAATCAAAATTATTTAGTTTAATAAATAAATTTAGTCTAGTTACAAATTCATTTTCAGATTTTCAGTATATTTCTCTCATTGACAATCTGTTACAAATTTACAATACTGCATGTTTAAATCAATATTGAGACACTAGTACATGTTTACGAAATTTATTTTAAAGAAATAATCACATTTTTATAAAGGAAAATACTTTTCTTGTAAAAATAAAAATACAGGTGGAATCCACGAATAAGAGAAGAGAGAAAAAAAAATGATCGAACCTATCTCTCTTTTATGTATATGTAAGAAAATTGTTTCTCTCGTGTAAAATGAAATAAATATAACCTTTTTATAAATCTTAAAAAGTTTTATACAAAACAAAAACTACCATTTTCCTCTTTTAATCGTTTGACAATCATGTTATGACATTTAAATAACTTCGGGGAGTGTACAACGTCTAAATAATCTAGCTGTGATGCTTTCTTCCGAAAATTTATTATTAAACAATATTATTAATTAAACATAAGATGCTTCTTAAACAATGTTAAGAGCACCCATCAACGAAAATAAGAAACAAATCCTAGCTTCCCTCATGGAAAACAGTAATTCTTTCATTTCTTCGATACACTCATCTATCTGCGCAACAATCCACATCCACCTAATGATCACATTAGGGTATTTGATGGGTTGAAGGAAGAAAGAAGTCTTTGTGCTAATAAAAAAAATGTCAAACTAATTATCATTTTCTATTAGTCTATTACTTAACTTTCTCGGTACATTGTGTCTCTTAAGAGAAATTTTGTAAACATAACGGACCAACAATTGCAGTAATGAGAAAAAGAAAAATGCCCCTACTGGAATTCAACTATACATTAAAACATGAATAATAACATAACAGACAAATAGACGAAGGCGCAGTCTTATAATACAAGACTAAGCAAATATTCTTATGTCAAGTGAAACTGAAAAAGAAAGCAGATATATTTAATGTTAAATAGGTAAATGATGAGACATGAGATCATCGACTCCGAAAGAGCTCAAAGTGGGGATTAGCAAAACCTCAAAGTAGCTTCAAGCTCCTTTTCATCAGCACAATTGTATCCCAGCAAATAAGCTCGTGCTGTTAAAATTGAAGAGACGTATCATAATGAGATGCATGTGCAAGAACTGATTTAAGAAGGAAAAAGAAGGAAGATAAAGATGGGGGAGACGGGAAGCCAAAGAGATGAGTTTACCAAAACGGCCAGATCCCATAAATGGCTCTGCCTCATCTGTCACACCACCTTGCTGCTGCTCCTGAAATTTCAAAAAAAAAAAAAAAAAACAAGAAAAAAGTAAAAGAAACCATTAGGAAGGAAAACTATACAGAAGGACCAGTAAACTTAATTTTGATAAGTTTAACTTTGTTAAGATTAAAATAAATGCTGAAAGTTTCAATAAGATTTAACGTGCATGGATACGTATTACAATAAAACGATATGAAAAGTCATTATGTCAAAGGACATTAGGCTTACAGCATCGGGCTCCATTTCAGCAGGTGACAGTAATCTATCAAAACAGTGCCCCGATATTGTACAGACCAAAAGCTCATTGGTAGGATCCATAATTACTTCTCTACATGTATCATCACAAACTAGAAAAGAAAGCAACACAATTATTAGTAATAAAAAAAAGTCACAAATTATAAGCTCTAGTCCAGACCAAAGGATTTATAAAACTTAAATGTTAAAAAAAAATGTCATGTAATTAAAGTATAGATAAGCATCGCCATAGATAATGTTTCCCACCATGAACTTGTCCAGTCTTCTCACAAATAAATACATCTCCAATTTCGTAGTAAGAGCAAGTTTCCCCAGAACAAGCATGATCAGGCACCACTGTATCAGTGAGGCCCCTGCTGCTTTTCCATGATGACACTTGATCAGCTAATGTTTTGTCAAGAATTATCCTGTCATCCTTCAACTTCAAAAGTAGAAAATAAGAGGGGAAATCACAAACAGTCAAGCGACGTCTATCTCATAGAGCTATGAAGTAGTTAGAAATAAAGAGATCATACTAGTAAAGATACAAAATTAATTTGCAGCACAGCATTAGCATAATGTAATGAAATCCTAAATCCCAATTTGGGTAGATATACTAGGAGCAAAAGCAAAAGACTATTGCTATATAAACATCATTATCCCTTTCCTTTCTCCCCTTCAAATGAAAGCTGGGACAACGGGGAGCATGAACAGAGTTGTACAAGGACTAGAACTATTTATTGAAAGGATCTCAACATATCAGCATATAGTTCCAGGATACAATAGTTTCTCTCATTACCTGTGAAGGATGAGGTGTTTGACTTCGTTTCGCTGCTTGCATTTGAATGTAATACTCCTTAAACTCATTTTGGCAGTTTCTGACAAGTTCAACCATGTCCTCTCCATCACGCTGCATAATGACAGGACAAATGACAAGATCCATATAAAAATTAATAAAATAGTTCTAAATAACTCAAATTCAATTTCCAAGAGAATAAAGATGAAATAAATTTAACATCCTGAGTTATGTATCTATTTCAATTAATGCCATAAAATTGCTCAACCACAAATCACGAATAAATGAATGCATGCACAAAAAATGAATAACGAAAGACTATTAAAAAAAATAGAAATGCAAAATGTGTAAGAACCTGAATGTATAACTTTTTCCATGGGCGTTCCCTTAATTTCCTTGTAGGGGGGAGAAGACCCCATCGCATACAGTACCTGAGCAAATTTAACCATAGCAATGGGCATAAACATGGTTATTGCATTTTGAATAGTGCAAATCTCACCAAACAAGGAGACAAAAATAACATGAACTATCTAAGTAGAGGAGAACCCACTCCTCAAAGCCAAGCTGATAAGAGGGGAGAGTCTCCACTTTAGATGGGGGAGTTCCGCGTCTCATACCCAGCTGATATGGGACTGGCACTCCTGCACCAACTAGAACATCAGCACTATCTAATTGACAGATACCCCGATTCCAAAATTGAAAGAATATAAAATCCAAATTAGTCCATACAAGCTATCTGATGGCCTGATGCAAAAATTTTAACAACTATCAACAACACTTTAAAAGGTGCAAACTTTGATGAAACAATATGTACTTACAAGCGACGCCACAATGCTTCATCAGATGCCGCATAATTTAGAAACCTACAGACTGAGGAACAAGAAATAAGGTCCTGCACCCATAAAAAAAAACTATAGTGAGCTAATTCAATTTCAAATGCCAAGATAACAAAATCCATGTACATAGAGAGCCACAATTAAAGGGACTTCTCTTCTAAAAATAAATACTTATAATAATAATAAATAAACAAAATTTCCACAAAAACCAGTGCAAAGAGGTAACCTCAGAGGACAGAAATTTAAGGATATGATGGAAAAGCTCAGGCGGGATTTTGCTGAAAAAACCAGTCTCAATCCTTCTCGACACCATGCCATTATCGACACCATAGTTTTTAGGCACAGATGATGAACTAGAAATTTGTTTAGCAACCTGCTTAGAACTCTCAGCCTCCTCTACGCGCTTTCTCTTTGCTTTGGGTTCCTCCACATTTTCCTCTTCCTGCAAGAATAGTCACTCAAATTAAACCTACCACACCATAATTTCTAATTAACTACAACAACAAAAACCTTTTGTTTCTGAACCCCAAATGAAACCCTAATCTATCGTCTATCATAAAAATCATTTCTAAAAGATCGTGAATAATCAGAATACCTGGTCAGAGACCTCGGAGAGGACTTCTGATTCGAGAAAGTGAGCTAGGTTTACGTCCTCGTCATCCGAAAGAGTCATAGTGTCACGGAAACCCTAGGAAGGGATCTGGTGAGAGATCGAACAGAAACCGTAGAGAGAAGATATATTGCAGATGGGTCCGCCGGTCGGGAAACCGGTAGAGAGGTCTCCGGTGGCCGGAATTTGAAGGACGGTTGCGGAATCACAATGAAACGGTAAGAGGGGATAGATGATTACGCTGATAGATGCAAAGCAGAATGGACGGTTAGATGCTTTTCGGATTTACCCGACCCGATCCTATTCGCTGGGCATATGGGCTTGTCCGATTCTAAGGAATATTTAGATGAAAGTGGATTCATGAATTATTATTATTATTATCATATGAATTCGTATATTATTTAACATATAACAAATGGAGAAAAAAATATTAAAATAGATAATTATAAAATTATTATTATTACTTTATTTTCATATAATAATAATAATAATTATTATTATTATATGAATTCGTATATTATAAAATATTAAAATAGATAATCACGTCACATCATGTATAAAAAACAAGAGAGAATGTTATCAAAAAAAAAAAAAAAACAAGAGAGAATGCACCAGGCAAAAATATCTTTCAAACCCATGTGTAATAATTACTCCAATACAGTTCACTTTTCCGTCTAAAACGGGTATTTTATTATAAAGTTGTTGCATTAATTGTTATTTTGAATAAGTTAAGTTCGTAAATGATTTTTCCCTTAAATAAATGATTACATAGTTGAAAATTATTCAATTTCATTATGTATCACCTCTTTTTATTTCCCTTACCCATGTATAATATGCGTTATTTTATATCTTATTTTAATAATGAGTATTCAAAATTGTTATTTGTATATATTTTTACTTTTTATTTATGTTTTTCTTTCTTTTTTTTAACATTGTATTTTGTTTCTAATAATACTTTCACGGCTATTCGACCATTTTGTCCCTCATTAATTAATTAATAATTATTTTGTCCCTGATTCAAAACTATCCATCAATCTGCCCATCTTTAATTGACTATCTTGCATTTTTAATCGATTAAATGGTTGTTGGGAGATTTAATCGACTAAATCTCCCTACTTAATCGATTAAAAAATCATACTGACTTATTTTCCTTTGTTGCCTGTTGGGAGATTTAATCGATTAAATAGGGAGATTTAGTCGATTAAATCTCCCAAAAGTCATTTTTGTCTGTTTTGACCATTTAATCGATTAAAAATTTAAGGTAGTCGATTAAAGAGGGGCAGATTGGTAGATAGTTTCGAATCAGGGGCAAAATGGTTATTAATTAATTAATGAGAGACAAAAGGGTAAAAAAGCCATACTTTCACCCCATATATAATTAATTGTTTCTCGTAACAATTTTATACTATTATTATTATTATTATTTAAATATGAGGAAGGTTATAGTTATAACTTTTTTTTTACAACCTCTTACAACCATATCTTTAACACCGTTGATTTTCGTCAATCAACGGTTATAATTTATTGTGAATTAATAATTAATTAATGAGTTTAATTTGCGAAAATCATAACCGTTGATTGGCGGAAATCAACGGTGTTAAGATATGGTTGTAAGAGGTTGTAAGAAAAAAAATTGTAAGTATAACCTACTGCATTATTTAAATATAAACATGCAATTAGTAATTATGCATATAATGATGTTGATAATTGCTTCTCAATTAAAATTCAATGATTAATATATATAAATTAAAAAAATTATTTAATTTTTTTATAATGTAATTTATTTAACTGAAATAACTGTTCTTTAAATAAGACAAATATTTTTTTTGGATTAATTTTTGTACTTTTAAATTATATATAATTTTGTCAATTTAGTCAAGATTATTGTATTTTATGGTAAGAAAAATCAAAATCATGGTAGGAGAAAATGAAAGTTTTTAATTTATATATTAAATTACAAATATTAATTTTATTTAAAATAATTATACTTTAAAAGGATAAATATTTTTTTTCTTTATCTTTGTCTTTGCAAATTTGACCATTGAAAAGATTTTGAACTGTATAATTGGAAGGCAAAAGAAGAAAAAAAAAAGGCATAACTTTTGTTTCTTATGAGACTTGTTGGAATATTCTCTTGATACGAGACGGGAAATGCTAAAACTACACCTTTTTTAAAATGTTTTTGTTTAGGCTCAACCAACATATGCATGACTTTGAATAACAAATTTTGACTTAATGTGTGGAAATTACTTTTTGGCTTTCAAATAACCAAGACACCATGACTATGTGTATAATTAGGTTCATACAGAGGTTTCATTTGGTGAAATTTAGAAGTAGCTTGTTAACTTCGACCGGACTTGTCAAGGAAATTATTTGGAGTAACAATATCTTTAGGCTGATTCCCATGTTTTATAAGTTTTTTTGTGTTTTTTTTGGTTGTACACGAAGACATTTAGAAATTGAAATATATCCAATTTCACAATGGTGTAGTTAAAATGGAAGTATATTATGTAAACATAAATTTGCACCAGAAAATAGAGTAGTATAACTCACAATAAATATTGAAAGAACGGATGCAGAAAAATTGAATAAATTCGAGCCCAGAAGTTGTCTCCTTAAAACAATTTGTTCCCTCTATTAATGCCGAAGGTTTGATGAACAATTGCCTCCCATGATAGAACAGATGTACGTCTCAAGAATTATGGCACCATCAATTAGGAGCCCCCACGAACACAACCAAATGCCAGATGGAATCACACTTTCTAAGCCTGAGGCAATATGTACTATGAGTATGGACCACAAGCAAAACTTAGAAAAAAAATTGATAGTGAATGACTAAGAAAATATTCAGATACTTTTCTGAAGAGTTTAGTGTCTATATATAGGCATTGCTTAGACACGATGAACAGTCGTCGGTGAACCAATCAGACGCATTGAATCGCCGTTGACGAACCATCATGACTGACGGCAGTGAATCGGTATCAATTCGGTTAAACCGAACACACCATTCCGGTTCAAAAGGGCGTGAAGCGATGGAGCACACCATTTAGGTTCAAAACTTAAGTTTGAATAAATTTGAGCCCAATAGAAGTTGTCTCCTTAAGACAATTTGTTCCCTTTATAGATGTTGAAGGTTTGATGAACAATTGTCTCACAAGATAAAACTGATGTAAGTCTCAAGAATGATGGCACTATCAATCAGGAGCTCCCACAAACACAAACAAATGCGAGATGGAATCACACTTTTCTAAGCCTAAGGCAGTATGTCCTATGTGTATGGATGCACAAGAATGACTTAGAAAAAAATTCAGCAAAGTAACGACTCAGAAAAAATTCGGATACTTTCCTGAAGAGCTTAATGTCATATATAGCATTGGTCGAACACGATGAACAGCCGTCGGTGAATCGATCGGACACACTGAACCGCCACTGACGAACCATCATGACTGACAATAGTGAATCGGTACTGATTCGACTATAACTAAATGCACCATTCCAGTTCAAAAGGGTGTGAAGCGATGGAACACACCATTTCGGTGCAAAACTTGGCGAACGTTTCGGTTTAAAAAAATTGGAGGGAGACAATAAATAAGATAGAGATATTTTGGATATAAAATAATAAAATAAAAAATTATTTTTAACTCACACGCGAGAGTCAGCGCCACGCGTGTGGTAAACTAAGACCCACCTACATCATATCTCCTCCACAAAAGTGGTATCTTCAAACAAATGAGGTGGAGGTATATAAACCGTCCCACCTGTCATTCCTTGTCCAACGTGGGACTACCCACACACTCCCTTTTATCTTCCTCTGTCCTCTTCTTCTCCAAATAACTTTTTATTCATAACTCGTGGAATTTAAGATATAAATTCTAACATTTTCATCCCCTTCTTCTTTTGGCCAATGGTTATTTTTAGTTAGATTGATCCAATCTTACTCGACAAAAGATATGCGATTATGTGAGTTCTGTTCATTTCATTTGCAAAACCGGTCTCTTGGCTTTGCTGATTGAGCTTGCAAAAACCCACAAGCAGAAACAACGGCCATTTGAATATTGCTTTTACAAATAATTTTTTGATTTTCAAAATAAAAAATAAAAATATCCGTTTGATAAGGCTAGTTTTATAAAAATAAAAATAAAAATTGTAACTATTTTTTTTTGATAAATTTAAAGAGCATGTCTAATTGGTTTTGTTTTCTATTTTGAATTTCAACTTTCAAAACAAAAAAATACAAAAAATGCCTATTTCCATAATTATTTTATAAAATAATTTTAAGAAAAAAAACCAATATATAATCAAACAAGTCGGACATTTTTAGAGGTTCATTAAGTGTTTTAAAACCCGGGTCGACTCGGGACTCGGTGACCCGGTGGGTTCCCCGATCCGAACGGGTAGTTGGACCCTTTTGCAGTCAACCCGGATTGGACTAGTTGACCTGGCGACCCGGTGACCCAGTTGACCCGGGTTAGACCGGTTATTCTTTTTTTTTTGGTAATTTTTTTTTTTTGTTTATAAGAACTCTTGAATTAAATCATATTCATATTTTATGATGAATATGATTAAAAATAAGGTAAAAATAATAAGGTATTTTAGATTAGTGCAGTTCGTTTACGTAATTTAGTTGCATCTTATAATGATCTCATGAAGTTAAGTGGTGATAAATACTGATGGTCTCATGATCTCATCTCAACGGTGAACACTTTTTTTAGTGTATATTTCATGCATACTATTTGTTATCATGATAACGATGACACTTTTTTCTTAATGTATATTTCATGCATATTATTTGTTATCATAATTTAATTTATTTGTATCACGTCAAGCACAAAACGTGCATTTAACTTATATTGCAATTTTAATCCAATATTAGGATATGGTCTAGAGCTAGAATCTTAGAAGTATATAATATTTGCTATCATTGAAACTCAATTTATTTTTTGAAGCTCATTGATAGTTTTTTATGTGAATTTTTATTAATATAAGTAATATTTTTATATTTATAATATGTGAACAGTAAATCCGGTTCAACCCGGTTGTGACCCAGTACCTCGACCGGTTTGATGACCCATCCGAGTTTTAAAACACTAATCATTTGTTTATTATGAGCCCAACAAAATTTGTCCCGTCCGATTTTCTAATTATAATTGGACGACTTAGTTTTTTAAGGAAAGAGAGCACAAACACTTTCTTCAACTTTATTTCATCTACTTTAATAATCTTGATCCTTTCTTCATTGCATTTGGTATT